TGATGTCTTACGAATGGACAAGGAAAAAGGAACTCAATAGAAAACTAGGCAAAGGACAGATTGAGCAGTTCATGGAAGAGTTAATACAGATGGCGAAGAGACAAAAATCTCAGATACAGAGTAGGGAAGTCCAACGAGAAAGAACAATGAGGGACCACTTTACACTCAAAGCTAAAACTTGAATTTCTGGCAGATAAGCAGAGGAGAAGAAACTAGCACATATTGTGGAAATGTGAAACATTACTTTTAAAAAAAAGATGTTTTATTAGAATTATGTGTGTGTGTGTAAAGTAAATTTAACCTACATATTTAACATATAATTCTAGATCAATGAATATATGTATATGAACATATGTGTGTGTGGGGGGTGTGTGTGTGTGTATGTGTCCTTCTAGGTATTTATCTCACTGGAACACAACCCCAGAGAAAACAGGCACATGCAAAAGCATTTTTTTTACAGCATGTTTATAGTTGTAAGAAAAGATAACAAAGGAAGTATCTTTCAAGAGTGAATAAATAAAGGAATATTAACACTATTGGAATATTATTATGTGCAGTCCAAGATGAATCAGAGCTCTATCAGTTTCTTGGGTAGAATGTCTTTGAAGTACTGTGGATTTTTAAAAGAAAGCAAAATGCCAGAGAGTGTATAGAAAACAATTTCACTTTTATAAAACAATGATCCCAAATCCTTAATACCGGGTACACAGTGTATTGCAACTGTCCACAATTACTTGATCGTGGAGAAAACAGGAAGGGTTATGTGTGAGAATCTTAATATGGGTTCCCTGGAGTGAAAGGGGCCGAACTTGCAGGCTGACAGGGTGGTGGGGAAAGGAGGGAGGCCAGACAATCATCAACCAAAATAACAATAACAATAATCATTTAAAAGCCAGGGCCTTTGGAGCTAGTCTCTTTCCCCTTGCAACCTAGTTAGCCCTCTGCCCCACAATGCGTGACTCCTGGGGCCCTTGACCATCACCCCCTCTGTCCCGTATGTGGCCTTCCATGGTTTTTGCTATGACTCCAGAATGGGACTCGAGGTACCGAGGCGCCCGGCTGGGGAATGCCTTCCGTGCAGAGCAGCAAACCTCAGAGTTCAGTCCCTGCTCTTCCCAAGCACTTTGACAAACTCATGGGAATGAGGGGAAGAGGCTATGGGAACACTGGTTCCCTTGCTCTCTCAATTCACATCCTCCCAAGTCTCAGCCTTCAGAGCACATCCTCAGAGGACTCCTCTGAGTCCCTCCCCATCCAAATTGTCTCCCTGTTACTTCCTTTCATAGCACATGTCACAATTTGCCATTGTTTTTTTTGTTGTTGTTGTGTGTGTGCGTGTGCGTGTGTGTTTAATGTCTATTTCTTTAATAAGCTGTAAGTGCCTCAAAGAGAGGGACCTTGTGCGTCTAGCACCCAGCACCCAGTGTGGACTGTGGCAGGGCTCAAGAAATATTGGTTGCTTTCATTAACTTACTCACTCATTCTCTTTTTCCTTGACTCACTTTTTCATTCACTCCTTTCTTCATTTATTCCCTTATTCATACCAGAAACATGTGCTATTGGCCAATGGCTTTTCCCACTCTGAGTCTTCTACTTTATAGGTGGCTTTTCTTGGGGCGAGGGTAGGAGTGGGGACATGACGGCAGAATTCTGGGAATGCATCCACAACTTGGGAGAGCAGAGCTGGGTGAGCTGGAAGCTCTCCACGCAAGGAGGGAAAATTCCAGAAGGCTGGAAGATCTGAGAGGAAGATGCTAGAGGATCAGACGACACACGCTGTCAGTGATGGGGTGGAGGCTGGACAGAGGCAGGCTCCCTTCTGTGCCCAGGATCTCCCACTGCCCAGCTTGACTGCCTGGTCCTCTCCCCGTGTGTACGTGTGAAATCCCGCCCTTCCTGTGGGCAGTCAGATATCCTCCAAGTCTCCCTCACTCCTCCAGCTGCAAGGGCTGTTCCCATCTGCACATTCCCTAAGCGCAAACTCTGGACCTGCCTCAAGAGTGACCACTTCCTAGCTTGGGCTGTGGTTTTACCTGTTCCCATGTGTCCCGCAGGCCCAGGATCTAGCACTGTGTGGTCACTCTTGCCATGTTGGCCTGACAAGTGAACACCTCTGTGAGTTAGGGCAAGGGTGATGGTTACGAGCCCATTTTACAGATGGGGAAATGGGGGCACTGACGAGTGACATGGCCCTTGCTCCCAGGGCAAAGGAGTAGCAGAGCCTAGACTCGGCCAAGTTTCCAGTCCCAGAGGCAGGGCTTGTTCCAGAACAGCCTGGAAGGAGGTGGGGGCAGGGTGGGGTGGATTGGAAGCTGGATCCTGAGAACCAGCAGGCCAGAGAGATTTGGAGTTCAGATGGCCAAGTTCAGGGAAAGCACAGCTGGGGAGGAGCCAAGGTATTTATTATGCTTGGTCTCCAGCTCCAAACAGAGCTGATGGATGGAGCCGCTCCAGTTCCTATAAACAGTTGGGGCCTCCCTCCCCGCCACCCGCCACCCGCCACCCCTCCCCATTCTCAGCCACAACTGTTTCCAGTGAGATAGCGGGTGTGTGTGTAGGGGGGGTGACCAAGGGAGGAAGGAAAAAAGGAATGAGATAGGACCAAAGAAGGGAGGGTGGCCAGCACACATTCTTACTTTGCTTCCCCATTGCCTGCTGCTGCCCCTAGACGGCCCACGCCCTGCGTCCTGCTCTGGGTTCTCTCCAGGTCCCTGGGTCTGTCTGAGGGCTGGTCTTAATCCCATGAGTTTATAAGTCCTGGAGGGCAGGAGCCATTCATTCAAGAAATCTTTTCTGAGCTCTCTGCCTGTGTTTATTCACAGGCCCTGGGGACACAGAGAGAGAACTCCTGAATAGGGCCTCCCTCCCAGAGCTGCACCAGTGTGCTACGACTAAGGTGGCCAGGGCTGAGGGCCAGGAGGTAAATCTGGGCAGTCCTCCTGGAGGGGGTGGTAGGGCAGGGGTAGGGAAAGGAGTTTGCAGGCAGATCAGTGGGTGAGACGTTCCAGGGAGGGAGGGGGAGAGTCTGGCGTTGGGGAGGTCAGGGTGCAGGGCCACTTAATGGTTAAGATTGCTGGCTCCCTACGGGACAAACCTGGGTTCAAGCCTCAGTTCTGGAGTGTCGGCTTCTGTAAAAAGAGAATGATAACAATGGAAGTCTCTCCAAAGTTAGAATCGAACACGACAGTGAACATCAAGTGCTCAGCACCGGGTCTGCTCAGCACCGGGTCTGCCCAGCCGTGCTCAATAATTGTCGGCTCTGAGCACATTGTGGGAGGCAGAGATGGGGGCCACACTGTGGGAGGCAGTGATGGGGGCTGGGGGCAGCAGGCACCTGGTCTCCTAGGCCCTTGTGAGCTGTCAGAAGGACAGGGGCACAGGAAGCAGACACCGGAGCCCAGGCCTGGGGGACTTAGCACCTGGGGATGAGAAGATAGGTAGCTGGCGTGTGCCCAGCCTTGCTGGGGGGTGCCATGACAGCTCACTGAATTGAACGAACCAGTGACACTGGGCACCCGAGGGCCTCCCTGGAACTTGCTGAAAGCTTGGGAAGCCGGATGCTCTGATGACCTAGTTGGCAGCTGTGACCATGTTTGGCTGAAAACAGGAATTTCTGCCTCACTAGGGGGTCTTGACCAGGTGAGCAAACTGCCCTGTTTGCCAGGAAAAGGGGTCAGGGGCCCGGTGCCCCCTGGCTGCATGCAAGGCCTGCAGCCCTGGGGCTGAGCTTAGTCTGTGCTGCTGCCCGTCCCCAGGCCTTCACTGAGAGCCCACAGGTTGCACCACCCCCTTCACCCTGCAGCACCACCCCATGAAATAGGCATTTATAATTGTTCTTTGGAGAGTAGGGGAAGCAGGAACTGGGAGGTGAGAGGTCACAGGCCAGAGAAGCTGGTTGGAGAAATCAGGAGGAAGAGCTCCAGAACCAGGGCCCAGGTGGCAGCAGGCCCCAGGGGGAGACCAGGGTGCTTGGGTGGGGACAGAGAAGCATCACTGAGGTGGGCTCGATGGGGTGGGGGCAGGTAGGGGAAGAAGCGTGGCTCCTGCAGAGGAGGGGTGCCTGGGTGTCAGGCTGCTGAGTGGCAGGTGGTCCCAGAGGACAGCTCCAAGGGCTGTGGAATGGGAGATTGAAGGGCTGGGGGAGGGGGATCATCCCCTGCCCCACAGACTTGGCCTCCCCAGTGGCTTCTGCCCCTCCTCAGCTCCAATCCTGGTCAGGACCCAGGGATGCTCTTCCAAGTTCAAGCTGGATCTGCAGCCCAGTTGCTCACTAACTGAATTCTCCAGACCCTGGGAGACCTCTGGCTGGGGACAAAGGGTCGAATGTCCAGGACAGGTGAGGCTGGAGGCAGAGACGTGGGCATTGAAGCAATGGGGTGGCTACAGCGGGGACGGTGTCCTGGTGTCATCATTTAGAGATGGCTCATGGAAGATGAACACATAGAGGGGATGAAAGCAGTGGCCTAAGAGGGAGGGGACAACTTTTGAGTGTTGGGTCTCAGATGTCAAGGGTGGGGTCAGGATGGGGAAGGGGTCCAGGAGATAGATAGGGTCCGAAAGGTACACCGTGTTGGCAAAGAAGACCCCAGAGGCCTGAGCCAGGGCAAGGGGGGTGGGCTGGGAATGGGAGTGGCGGTGGCCGAGGTGGGGATGTGATGGTCTTTGTCTGATGAGCAAGACTTGAGACCTCCTGAGATGGGGTAGGGAGGGGACACATGGCTGCAGAAGGAAGAGAACAAATCTGTCACCGGTTTCTCAGTGTTGGGGTAGAGAGCAGGGTTGTGTTGGGTGTGAGAGGACAGAGGTGTAACGGGATCATAAAGGGAGCTGAGGCCCCAAAGTCCAGGATGGTGATGGCCCTGAGCCTCCATGTACCCCAAGAGACATTCCATGAGGATTGAAAGACTAGAAGGGAAGTCGGGAGGTCAGGGTTCAAGTGCACACACTGATGTGAATTGCCCACGGCAAAAAGGAGGCTGCAGGCCACACGTTTCCCCAAAGTCATATTTTAATACATTCATGTGGTTATACAAAGAGCTGGTCCCAGGGCCTGGGCCGTGGCCTGGCTTCTGGGAGGTGACAGCAGCATGGTGTAGTGTTTTCAAAGATCAGGCCCAGGGGCCAATGCCGTGGCCTCTAGGCCTGAGAAGAGTGTCATGTGCAGTAGCACCTGTGGTCATGGTCCCAGCCAGGACTTTGTGCACCTGGCTGCCCCTCATACCACCAGGGCTTCAAGCAAGGGTCCAGCCCTGGATCTGCCCATTGGCCTTGGTTTCCTCATCTGTAAAAGAGTGCAGAGAACAGCATTCTGATCTTCTCATACATTTATACGTGTCCATCATGGGTCAGACCACGGACCAAGCACAGGAAAGATGACTCTGGCTGGTCCCAGCGCTCTCCTCCTTCCCAGACAGCTCATGACTCCATGGTATGAGCAACAGGTATTTATCTAAGTTGAGCCTTTCTACCTATTTTCCTGGCAAGGGGTGGGAATCTTTGCATGATGAGGAACAGAAAGTAAGTTTGGAACTGGCATTATCTTGTGATGTGACAGATGAGAGAGAAGGACACCACACAGGTCCAACCCTGAATTTTGGCAGTGCTCGAGGTTGAACTCAAAGCCTTGTGCACGCTAGGCAAGCCTTCTACCACTGAGCCACATTTTCTTTTTTGCAGGCTGTGTCATTGACTTGTGCAGCTATGAGGAGGTTAGACTCCATGATCTCAAAATCCAGGCTGTGCTCAACAGAGGGAGAGGGAATAAGAAAACATAGGAGCAAAAACAGGAAAAGGAGAAGCCACATCAGTCTGCAAAGGAGAGAATGAGGGAAACTGAGGCAGAGGAGAAGCACAGGGCCTGTAGCTGCCTGCCTTTCTCCTGCCTGGTGGGAGAGAGGAGGAAAGGGCCCACACAGCACAGGATACTCAGGCTCTGTTCAGGCAACACGGAGCCACTCAGGCCTGGAAACAGAGGATGTGGGTTTGAATTTCAACTACAGCATTTCTTAGTTGCGGGACCCGGGAGGGAGACTTTGGGAGAGTTGTCTCCCCTTTTGTAAAATGAGGATAAAATACCAGACTCTGGGAGTTGTCACACAGAGGGAGACGGTGAGGCTGGGGTCTGCATCTACAGGTGGCAAGCTGTGTGCAAAACAGAACCAGAGAGCTAAGGCTTGAACTCGGCTCGGCAGCCAGGATGGGGCTGGGATGGAGAAGGGGCCTGGGCAGGGGGTAGGGGATTCAGGCAAGATCGGGGTCAATGTGTGCAGCAGGAGAGTGCCAGGGTGGGAAGGACCTATGGGACATCCTGGCCTCAGCCCAGAAGACCACCTCTTAACAAGACTCTGGGGCTGCTGCAGCTTGCCTAACTAGGTCCCAGACACCCTCATGAGGCTCCAGTTCTCTCTTCTGGTCACAAGTTCCTCATTTTCCAGAGAGGCTGGAAGTCATTATCAGAATATGTGACAAAACAGTCCACTTGGAAACATTTCAGACCAATCCTCCTGAGCTTGTGGCCCCCTTGCCCTGGTATGGCAGGGGCAGGACTCTCCACCTGGGATTGGCTGGGGTTGCAGAGCCTCGAAGCCCTGGGCTTCCCCACCTTGAACCCCATCCTCTGCCCAGCTCTGTGACGACCTCTCCTCCTCAGAGTGCCGCATGTGTTTCATTCAACTTACTGCATCCCCAGTCCCCAAGAGCAGGGTGTGGCCCAAAACAGATGCTCGGGGAGGACTTGCTGATCCTGGGTCAACATTATTCTCTGCTGTCCCTGAAACTGCCCAGCTGCAGTTTCCACAGCTGGACCACTTGAGCAGCCTGGGAAGTGGGTCACCTTCCCACGCAGAAGGACGCACAGAAAGGAGCCCTAGGCTGGGAGCTCGAGACCAGGGTTCTGGGACACCGGCTCACGGTGTATCAGTCCCCACTCTGCTCTGTGCCTCCAGCTCCTGCACTGACCTGGAAGGGTCCCCTGGCTCCCTTAGGCTTTGTACTGTTGGTTGAATTTCTGCCGGCGGACACAACAGCAGGTGGCCAGCGTGGTGAGAATGATGGTGGAGACCAGTGCGAAGGTGAGGATGATGATGAGGTTGACATTCTTGAGCCCGCCCTTTTCACAGTCCTCAGGACGCACGTGGCTCAGGGACACCTCTGCCTGGGAGCCAAAGCGGCAGATCAGGTCCTGTGTGGCGTCCACATCCACTCGGCCCTGGTGCAGCTGGGCCGCCAGCCAGCCATTGCCACAGCAGCTGAGCGGATTCCCCTGCAGGTAGAGGCGCCGGAGGCTGGTCTCCAGGCCCCCCATGGCGCTCCCTGGCAGGAGGCTGAAGCTGTTGTTCCGTAGGTCCAGCACCTCCAAGGACACCGCCTGCGTCCAGGCAGGCAGGTGGCTGAGGTGGTTCTCAGCAAGATTGAGCCTCTTGAGGCAGCTGAAGCAGGGCAGGTCCACCTGCAGGACAGTCAGCCCGTTGCCCTGCAGCTCTAGGACCTCCAAGGAGGCCTCCAGGCCAGCCAAGGCTCCTGTGGCCACATCCAGCCCAGGGTTGGCAGAAAGGTCCAGCTCAGTAAGCGGGGTGTGGAGGAAGGCCCCTGCCCTGAGCATCTCCATCTCGTTATCTACCATGTTCAGAACGCGGAGGGTGGGGATGCCAGAGAAGGCCACGCAGCCTGGGGGATTGGGCTCAGCTGCGCCCCCGCAGGGATTCACCCGGTTCCCCTGCAGGTTGAGCCTCTGCAGGCTGGCCAAGCTGGCAAAGGTGTGTGGTGGCAGGTCCCGCAGGGCATTGTCCTGGAGGAGCAGCGTCCGTAGGGACCCCAGAGCTCTGGCACCCAGCTCCAGCACCTGGAGCGCATTGTGGCTTAAGTCCAGGAGCACCAGGCAGGGCAGGGAGCCCGCATGCGGGGCCTTAAAGGCCTGCAGGCAGTTCCGGCTGAGGTTCAGAAAACGCAGAGAGGTCAGGCGCCCCAGGAAGCTGTCCGGGATGAGCTCAATCTCATTGTAGCTCAAGTCCAGGTTCAAGAGCTGGGAGAGTGGGTAAGTGCTGGTGTTCCAGCTAGGGTTGGAGAGGGGCAGGGCTGACCAGCCCTCCGAAGGCGCGTGGAGGCCCTCGCTGCCCTGGGGCAGCCCAGAGGGGAGCCGGATAAGGTTGTTGGACACGTTCAGGTAGATGAGATGCGGGAGCGCGGCCAGGTCGGGGAAGTGCAGCAGCTTGTTCTCCCGCAGGTCGAGCCAGGCCAGCTGGTACTCGGCCGGGGGCTCGGGGGCTGTCTGGAAGGCCTCAATGCTGTTGCAGCTCAGGTCAAGCACCCGCAGCTGCCGGAGGCTAAAGTCAGAGATGCAGGTGAGGGAATTCCTGGAGAGATTGAGGTGGGCCAGGCGGGGCAGGGCCTCAAAAGCCCCGTCCTCGATGTCCATCAGCACGTTACTGTGCAGGTCAAGGCGCTCCAGCGCAGGCAGGCCCCAGAAGGTGCGGCGACCCAGGCGAGTCAGGCTGTTCTCGGCCAGGGAGAGCGAGCGCAGGCTGGGTGCCTCGCCCAGGAGCCGCTCCACCAGGCCACTGTACAGGCTGTTTCCAGACAGGTCCAGGGAGGTCACGTGCAGCAGGGTGCCCAGACCACTGGCGTTCAGCGCAGTGCCCACCGCCAGGCGGTTGTGGGCCAGATTGAGGTGCTCCAGGTGGGGCAGGGCCTGGAAGACTCCCGGAGGGAGGAAGCTGATCTCGTTGACACTCAGGTCCAGGTGACGGAGTGCTGTGTAGAAGCCCAGGGGCAAGGCCACGATGTCCTGCAGCTGGTTTCCAGAGAGGTCAAGGGCCTCGATGTCCAACGGGAGCAATGAGGGGACCTGGAGCAGGCCAAGGCCCTGGCACAAGGCCTCCTTCTCCACCTGAGGAGGGTGATGGCGAGGAGAGCAGCTGGCATTAACGGGTGCAGTAGCAGGTGGAAGCAGACAAGCTACAAGACACACATGTCCCCCACCCAGGCTTGGGTCAGCTCTCCCAGGGACTCCCAAGATGCTAGACTGTCCTCACCCAGCCTAATGTCCGATGACCCCCCTGTGCTCCCTGCCCTGTCTCTGACACCTGTACAGTGTTGAGCAGAAGGGAGGGACTAGAGAAGTCGGACGGGCAGATGGATAGAGAGATGAAAGACGTGAGGACAAGTGAGCTAAGGGCAGCAAGGTACCGATTATTATTACTCCATTTCACAGGAAGCTAAGCCAGGTCATCACTCAGTGCGACCTAGAGCCAATGAGCAGCAGGGCCAATGGGGGACCAGGCTTCCTGGTTCCATATCCTGGGTCCCCTCTACGGCCCAGAGGGTTAAATTCCCAGTGCTAGACCGGAAGCTATGTTGGAAAAGAGGCTTCCAACCTGCAGTGTGTCCTCCTCTCCTCGGTTTTTATTTTGCTTTCCACCCTCAGATCTCATTCAGGCTCAGGTTCCATGGAGCTCCCAGATGTGACCTCCTTTCTGCAGCTGTCACCTGCCCCCACCCCATTAAGTGCCTTGCTTCCCATGGCCTGGTGCAGCGGCAGGCTCTGAGGTAAGGTAGGGAGAGGGAACGGGGCAAATGGTGGCCGGGGTACCAAACAACAGTCTTTGGTGATAGGACTGCAATGTTGCTCTGTGACCTCCATCACGTCACAGTGCCACTCTGGTTTCTTATCCAAAGTTCCTCATCCCTCCCCAGCCACCTCTCAGCATTTGACATTGCACTTTTGGGCCTGAGGTCTCATAGATCCTCAGAATAGCACGGGGTGATCTGTTACCATCACCCTTACTGATAGAAATCCAGGCCCAGAGAGGGCCAAGGAGACATCAGGATCCCCCAGGTGGTGAGGAGGGAGCTGCCATTTAACCCAGGCCGTTTTACAACCAAAGGCCCCACTCCTGTACCTTCTGGGCCCAGAATCCTGTGCAAACACGGGTCTTTTTCCTTTTTGGTGTCTTGCAGACCCCCAGGAAACCCAGCCTTTGCCAGCAAACGGTCTGCCTTCCACCACCACCCGGCTCAGGCCTGCTTCTGCCCCAGCGTCTCTGTCTCCACTGACCCCTTGGGACCTACTTCCTGCCAAAACACTGCTCCAAGACTCCACTCAGAAACTCTTGTCCTCCAGGGGGAGTCCAGGATCCTCAGCAAGGCATTCAAGGCTGTCTGTGGCCACTACTAACCTGTCCCCTCACCTCCTCCCTCAGCCCAGTCCAGCCCACATGCCTGGTCACACCCTCCCCTGCCCACTTCTGGGCCTCCCCTGAGCTGGTCGTGCCATCCTTGACCAGATCCATGGTGAATTCTTCACACTGGGCTCCAGCCTCTCCTCCGCTAGGGAGCCTTCCATGACTGCACCATATAGTGGCTTTGCCCCACTGAACCGCGACCTTTTGTGTGAGGATATGCTGTCAGTGAACTCAGAGCAAAGAGGGCCTGGTGTAATTGATATGGATGCCAGAACCTTACCCACAGAAAGAACTTAGGATATTTCTGTAATGAACAAGAGTCACAGATAACTGTGACTGACACCAAGTCGGTCACCTCTCAGCTGGGAAAGAAAAGGGATGATCTGTATTCTCAGGTTAGAGGTGGAGACCAGCAGAGCAGAAAGAGGACAGCCCACCCTCCTAAGCAACTTTGCAAGACCCTATCTCTAACATTAAAAAAAAAAAAATTAAAGCACTAAGGATGTGGCTCAGTGATTAAGTGCCCTGATGCCCCTGAGTTCAAACCCTGGTACCAAAAAAAAAAAAAAAAATCTCAGAATGACCCAGGGGCAAGAAGAATGGTGGCTTCACAGAAGACTGGCAGGTGCTGCCACCAGCCCTTCTGGTCCCTGAAGCAGTGGCCCATTCTGTGTCCAGGTGGAGCTACTGGAAGGCTGTCCCTTCTCCAACCCAGGCTCTGCCACTGACTTCAGCAACTGCCCTGCCTTACAGGAGGACCTAGGTAGTCTCTTTTCCCTGCACCCTGCAGGGTCACAGGGCTAGTCTCCCTGGCTTAGAGCAGGAGAAAGGAATCAAACCTGGTCCCTGCCCTAGAGAAGTTATTAGTCTGGCAGATAAGACAGGCTCAGACCCTCCCTGGACCACCCCACATGCTCAAGATGCTCAATATTGAGATGGAGGAAAGCTTGGGGCTGGCAGGAAGCCAAAAGAGAGAGCAACCAGGCTAGGTTAGCCGGGGAGGCTTCCTGGAGGAGGCAGCACTTGACCCAGCAGTTCTGAGCTCTGAGTGGCATTTCAGCAGTCAGTCAAGGAGGCCAGATAGGGGGAGGGATTGGTCCCAGAAGGGACCAGTACTGAGAAGCCCCTTCCAGCTGGCCCATCCCACCTTCCCTACACATATTCATATTCTGGATTCCCCAGCTGGGCTACTGGCCTGCAGGGACAGTAAGGACTAGAGTCTGATACTGGCCCCACTGTTCCTTCCTGAATGATCTTGGACAAGTCACCTAACTTCTCCAAGCTGGGTTTCCACCTCTGTTAAATGGAAATAAGGGGGCTTACCTGGCAGGATCGCTGAGTAAGCCAGTATTAAAACATTCTAGTGAGTGCTCATTGAATGCAAGGTAAGCCCCTTTCCTCTCCTGACTTCCCTTATATCCAGCTGCTGGGGCTGGGGCAGCAGGTCACCCTAGGGCAAGGGTGGGGTGTGGTGGCCCTCGCCCTGCCTGGCAGAGCATCTTACCATCTTACAGGGCAGCTTGTCTCGGTGCTGGGAGGTAGCCAGGCCTTGGGTCAGCACAGCCAGGAGCAGCAGGATCTGGTGGCTCATGACTCTGTGGAGGGCGGGGAGGAAAGGGCCACACTGTGAGACCACGGGCTCTTCCCCTGCAAGCCCCACCTCCTACCTGTCCTCGCCTACAAAAAGGTGCCGTGGACAGGGCCGGCAGCAGATAAGACACAGTTGCGCAAAGGCCCGGGGGGGACAGGCCAGGTGGGCCACGACCCGGGGGAGGCAAGAATTTTAAAGCAGGGGGTGACCAGGTCTGATTTGGATTTTCAAAGGTCCCTACCTGGTGGGAGACAACCTGGAGGGGATGCACAGGACACAGAGGGACCTCAGAGGCTGCCCTGGGCTAGGGCTGGGGGTAGAGGCCTCTGACTTGGTTTCTACCCAGGCCATAAGCAGGCACCCCCATTCCAGCCTCAGGCCCCCCCAGCCGAATTCCCCCCCCCCCCCCCCCGCCCCCTACCCCACTCCCCGCCACCCCCCTGCTTTATTTTGCTCTTGCTCTTTGATTCTCTGGTTCTGGAGCCCCTGCCATTGTTCCTGGACTGGGCTCAGGCCTCAACAGGAAGCCCCGCCGGGGGCCTGCCCTGCCCGGCACTATCCCTGCACACTTCCCCAGGAGCAGGCCGCCAGGCCCCACTTTCACTGAGGCCACCACTGGCTGTGCAGGGCGACAGGCCTGCTGGGACTGCCCTCCCCTCCATCAACCTGGGATGGGACTGAGTGCACCCAAAGGCCCCCAGCAGGGTGGAATCCCACAGCTCCCTCCCGAGGACCTGAGCCAAGTGTTGGGGAGACACAGATCGACCGGCTGACCTGACGAGCTTGTTCATTGAGTCACACCTTTACTGACTGCTTCCTCATAGCTGGCTCTGTGTTGGGACAAAACCGAGCATACAAGGGAACGTAATGGGAACAGAGAGTGTTAACACAGAAGGACGTCCGTCTAGAGCCCTCCTAGAACCCTGGGCTCAGAGGCACCCACTGCTCTCTCATGCCTCTACTAACTGCCGTGTGACTTTCCATAAGTCACTTTACCTCTCTTGAGTTTGTTTTCTTTTCTGAGGCTAATGACAGCCCTGCCAAGTTTTGTTGAGGATCAAATGAGATATATTCCAAGAAAGTGCCACTTAGCCTTTATGCCACTTATGCACTCTTCTCAATACTTTACAATTGGTAATTCATTTAGTCCCCCCCAAAATTCAATGATTTGGTTCCATTATTACCATTCTCATTTTATGTAAGGATAAACTAAAGCTCAGGTTAACTCACAAATCCAGGGTCACCAAACCTGCTAAATGGCAGGTTCAGGCAAAATCTGGCTCCTGGGTCTATGCCCTAAACCTCTGCACCAAAAGTCTCCCACCGGGGGTGCTTGATCAATGAGTGCTGCACTGGGACTCTGAGGAGGCTTTGCAGGGAAAGGGCCTTCGAGGGCTTATCTCTGTCAGAACCCACTGGTGATGAGTTTTAAACAAAGATGGCTGCACTGAGGTTCTTTCCTGCTGGATCACTAGGGGCCAGGGTGACATCTTTCAACCCCTTCCTTGGTTTCCTCAGGCCACAGACCCCACCCACAGTGGCGCTCTCACCTGCACTGCAGGTTGCCCTGGAAATTTTGTTCTGTTGTTAAAAAGTGTCCACCACCGAGTCTGCCACACAGCGGGCTCAGAAAGCCCCTGGGAGGCCTTCGGGGCTCTGGGGACCGTCACTCCCGGCCAGCTCTCCTCTCCCACTCCGGGTCCTGGACGCCCCGTATCCTTCCTTCCCTGAGCACTTTCCCAGGGCTCCAGACTTCACCCCCCACCCTCCAATGTGCTCTTCACTTCTGGTTCTTCCTCCTCCTCCTCCCATGGCCTCCTAGAGAAGCCTTCTTTGGGTCCCCAAGTCTGGGCTACGGTCCTCCTCTCTCCTGTGCTCCAGGCCGGGAGCTGCAGGGAGCCAGCAGTGAGCACCCCAGGGTCTGCTCCCCACCCCTCTAGGAAGTGCCCCAAGGCAGAGGGGCATCTGGGCAACAGAGGGATGCTGGTGACCCCAGTCCCCCTTGGCTCTCCTTCACCTCCCTGCCGCACTCCCTCCCCCACCACTGCATTCTGCTGTCCTCCCTGAAAACAGAGCCCACATGGGCCACCTCCTTCCTCCATCACTGCCACAGACAGGTGCCACTGTGACCCTGGGCCTTGACCACGGCAACAGCCAACCCGGGTATTTGTTTCCATGCTTCTACCCGCACCTCTTGGGATCGGTCCTGCTCGAGCAGCCAGAGTGCAGAGGTAAACCCTAGATCAAGTCGTGATTGTCTGCTTTGAAAATTTCCATTATACCCAGGCTATGCGAGTCTCCTGATCTCCAGCTATTCCTCCCTCCCCTCTCAGTGCCAGCTTTCTCCCAGTGCCTCCAGGGGCCTTTGCCCTTGCTGCTCTCTCTGCCTGGAATGCGCTTCCCCAGCTCCTCATGCGTTTTACTATTTTCCTTACATCTCTTATTTTCTGAGAATTTCTTATTCTGGGGGAACTGAAACCTACTAAGTAGGTGCTCACTAAATATCCCATGAACAAAATGGAAGAATGGGGGAATCACAAGGGGGTGGGGAGTGCCAGGTGAGGTTTAGTTCTGAGCTTGAAGGTAGAGATGCCAAAGGGGCCCTTATTTCCCTCTCCTCTATCAAATCCCACCCCACCCACACCAGTGTGGGCATCTGCGCATTCAGAAGGCAAGGTCACTGCAGCACATGGGAACTCTGAAGGGAAGAGGGCGCTCAGCCCTGGGCCCCCCTCAGCAGTGGCCAAGACACAATGCGTAGTAGCATTCAAGGCCTCCTCTCCCTCACACAAGAAAGGATGGATGTCACTTAGACCCAGTCTCACATCCAAACTCCACTGCTCACCAGCCTCACTCCCAACAGCAGGTCCCTTAACCTCTCCAGGCTTCAGGGTCCCATCTACAGGGCAAGTAGTCTAGTTTCCATTCTGCCGCTACCCCTACAGCCATTGTGACGATGTGGTGGAGACGGCTATAGAGCTGCCTGGGACACTTAAGTGTCCTTCCCAGGAGGTGTAAAGGCCAAGCATCCCAGATCAAGGGTATTGAAGAAAGAGGCCCCAGGCCTGCAAACAAGTGGCCAGGCAGGAGAAGGCAGCAGACACGGCAGGACTCTAAGAGAAGTGCTAAAGGAGAGAGAGAGAGAGAGAGAGAGAGAGAGAGAGAGAGAGAGAGAGAGAGAAATGGGGGTAAGGAACAACGCCTACAATCAAAAGTCCACCCCCACTAAGCAAAGATGTTAGATACTCTTCTAAGCACTTGACCTAATATCACTTATTTAATCCTAAAAACCACCCGAAGAGGCAATTATTATAATTCCCATTTTACAGACCAGAAAACTGAGGCACAGAACGGCGTGAGTGCTTTCTTCTCCAACAGTGCTGGGCCCACTGCCGCCTAGAGAACTGTCCCCATTTTTTGCCCACAAGGAAAATGAGGCTCAGAGAGGTCACTTACTCAAAGTCACACAGGCAGCAAATAGCAGAATCAGGATTAGAATCCCCAAACAACTGTTTCCATTACATCAAGCAAGATCTCCCTCCATAACCCAGCCAAGGAACCCAGGCTCAGGCACGGAAGCAGCCGGCTCACAGTCCAGGCGCCTCAGGTGTTCTCTCAACAGCTCTCGGCCTCCCTCTGACAGGCAGAGAGGGTCCTGGGAGAGCTGCTGCGGAGGTTCACAGCGAGCAGTGAATCACCGAGGGCAAGCCCTGTTCTGGAGACATGTGCATCCCACGGGGGAATTAGACCTTAACCCAAAGGAATGCGGCTGTGATGGCGGAATCTCAGGCAGCCAGGGGTGGGGGTGGGGGGTCTTCACATCTCACCCCCATAAAGAAGGCTGGCTCAAGCCCCTGGGAGGACGGTGGGCGCCCCTTTCAGAGAGATGAGCAGGCTCTCCAGCGCGGTGGGATGGGAAGCCCACACCCGGCCTGGAGCGGAGGGCGGGAGACCTGAATTCAAATCCTGATGGTCCCTCCACTAGCTGGGTTTCCTGGACAAGTTCCGGGCTGTCCGCCACAGTTTTCCCAGCTGTCAAATGGGAATGCCGGCCTCACCCCTCTGCAGGTAAGATCCGCTGAGACAGGCAGGCGCCTTGGAGATTTCTCGGGGACCGAGGAAGGATCAACCCCAGCCCCACGCGCGCAGTGCGGGCGGCGGGAGGGGCGTGGGGCACCCCATGGGCCGGCCGCAGCCGGGTCGGCGCCCGTGCCCTCGAGGGGCGTGGGACCACGGCTCCCCGGGACCCGGCCTCGCCCGCGGGGCGCTCCTACCTGGCTCAGCGCGGCCGCCGCTCCTCTCCCGGGCAGCCTCGGCACATTTTGCGTAACTCTGCCCCAGGTCCCACCGGCGCCAGACCCCGGGGTCTCGGCCCGAGGAGGCACGGCCGCTCCTGCGCCCCACGGGAGCCGGCCGCGAGGGGGCGGCGCTGGCCATTTAAATACCTCTCCCGCCCGCCACGCCCCCTCGGCCCCTCGGCCGCGCGGGGTCCTAGCGCTCGAAGAGGCGGCCCCTGGGACGCGGGTTACGGGGAACCGGTGGTGCGGGGGTGGGGTGAAGCATCTTCTTTACGCAGGAATCCCGGCTGGGAAGGGGCGGGAAGAGAAGGGTCCGGCTGAGTCCGGAGAGAGGAGGGTCTGGAAGGAAGCGCGGTGGGAGCTGCGCGCAGGGGCAGCTGCACGTGCCGATCGCCGCCCGAGGCGCGCGGGGTTCGGACCGGCGGGGGCGCCAGGAGCCGCGGGTCCACCGAGGAAATCCGGCGCCGCCGCACTTAAGCTGGGGCGGACGGGAGAGGTGACTGACGGCAGCTGAACGCGGAAGGAAATGACCCTTCATTGGCCCTGGGGCGGCGGCAGAGGGGGTTCCCCCACACCACGGCCATCCTGCATCATCTCCCGGACTGTCAGTCCTTGGTTTTCAGATGAGAAACTGATATTGGCGTCGGGGGCAATTAATATAAGTAAAAATCAGCCCCCGAAATTGGCTGAGACTAGTTAGGTCCCCATTTATGGTTGGGGAACTTGAGGCTCGGGAAGGTTATATGGCATATCCCAAGTCACACTGTTTATAAGAGGCAGGGGTGTGAGCCCAATCTGCCCACAAAGCTATGTCCAGGATAGTTTGCATGTTGTCAGGGTTTCTATAAGTGCTGTCCCGAAGCGAGGTGACAGTATTCTTTTACTTCTGTGGTTGGAGCAAATCTTCCCCAAATCTCTCCCTCTTCTAGGTGCTCCAGCCCTACCAGGAATCCCTGCTGGGAAGAGGCGGGAAGAGAAGGTACGTAGGTGGGTGGTCCTTGGGGGAGATCCTGCCCTCCAGGATCTGGTTCCAAGGGTAGATTCCTCTTTCTCAGTGGTTCTATTTCCTGATGCTCACCAGGGCTGAAAGTGGGGCCAGATGCCTGGTTTTACAGACCTGAAAATGACCCACCACCCAAGGGCTTGTGGCAAACCGGCTGAAATTGGACTCAGAAGCTGGGTTCTCTGAAGCATGCAGAGCTTCTGCCTTCTCCTTTGCCCATCCACTCCACTGTGGAAACAGACCTGAGCAGATGGAGGGAACCCACAGAGACATGCTGTGACAGGAGTGGCCCCAGGGCTTGCGGAGGTCAGGGAAGGCTTCCCAGAGAAGGGAACCAGAGCTGCCATGAGGAGATGCCTAGGAGGTTGCAGGAAGGGACCCAGCAAGTCTGGAGAAGGGCATCCAACCCCACCCACTTCCAGCCCCACCCCACCCACCTCCAGCCCACATGGGCTAATCTGTGCCCACAGGAGTCCAGCTGGTCCATCCTGGTCTTTCTCTGGTGCTAACCCCTATCTGGTCAAACAGAACCTCAGTTTCTCTATATATAAAGTAGGAAAGGTATTAGCTACTTCTTGGAGTTGATGCCATATGTAAGGACAAGGAATCCAGGTCAGGGCCTGTGCCCAGGGGGTGTTCGGTAACTACTCTGGTATCTATTACAGTGTTTGGTTGATACTTCTGTTATACCCTGAGGGCTTCCTTTTCCAGGTTCTATTCAAGGGGGCGAAAGGCCAGGAAAATGCTTTGCAGCTGCCCTGTGCTTTGAGCAGATCCAGGAGTCCTGAGTTCTCTGCGACCTGCAGCTTTCGCTCAGGCCCAGGCTAGCTGAGCCCTGCCTTGCCCTTCCTGGGTTGCTGCAGAGCAGAAACCACTGTGCTTACGAAGCTTGGGGAGAGCTGCAGCAGGGTGGGGCTGGGGCCATGGTGGTGGGGGCAGGGTGGGATAGCAGCCCCCTTGCACCCCTAGAAGCTGTGGTTGTGGTTAGATGGTTCACCGGGTTCCACCTTACTCTGTCCGGATGGGGCTCCCCAAGAGTTGGAGATGTGTGGGCATCCACGCGTGCCCACCCACTACAGATGCCTCTTGGGACCAGGGGCTAAAGACTAGGAACTCCTCGGCACCCTTCCTTCACCCCCTCCCTTCTTCAGCTGTCACTTTATGTGTGACTTTTGGCAGATTGCTTGATCTTTTGACCTCAGCGTGTTGATCTGCAGAGCAAGGCTAATTCTATCACTGAGGTCATGCCCTGATGGGAGGGCATGTGGAATGTGTTGAGTGCCTGGTGGGGCCTCGCCTTGTATTTGCTCAGAAAACATCATCCCCCTTCCCTGGTGGGCCTGGGAGAGCTGCTGATGTCTGTGCCTACTCTGTGGACCTCCCAGGCCAGATGGGAGCGGCCACGAACACAGAGGATGACTGAGTCCAGAGGCCTTGAAGGCCACATCCAGGAAGCTGAGCTTGAGTCTGCAAGAGGTAGGGGGTGGGATTTGCCAGGCAACCATGTGGAGCGTAGTGATCTGTTAAAGGCCACAGAGGCCAACTTTCCACACAATACTCTTAGCTCCTGCTCACACGCAGGTTCTAGGAGAACTTCTGGGGAGTTCTCCTAGACAGCCTGTGTGGATGCACAGCTCAGACTCCACAGTGTTGATGTTTCTGCGGAAATTCTTGCAGTCTCTCATGTATTGGTCAGTGAAGACAGGAGACATTTCTTTTTCTGGATCCTCATGACTATCATTCTGAGACAGTGCCTCTCAAGCACCAAGTCAGGTTCAAGGCTCACTGGGAGCGTTTTGTGCAGATCAGGTTGAAACCTCAAGATCTTATGTAGGAGTTAGTGGCCCAGAAAGACAACAATGTACACATCCTGTGTGGCCTTAGAGAAGTTGCTAAACCTCTCTGAGCCTTGCTATCCTTATAGAACTAGAGTGGGAAAGACTATGGCACTCTGGACCCCAACTCAGTTTTCTCTGCTTTTTGCCAGTCACTCACTACAGACCAGTCCTTCCTCTCACGTGGCAAATCAGAATAAAGACAGCCGTAGTCTTCCAATTAGGTGCCTTTATTCTCAATTATTGGCTGGAAACTGAAGTTCACAGAATTTAAGTAACTCACCCAAGTCACACGGTTTTGGAGTCAGGAATTGAACCTGGGTGGGTCTCTTACTTCCTAGGCCACATCTCAATGCAAAAACGTGACTTGTCCTCACTCCGGGCCCCTGCCCAGCACCCATGTGGGCCCGTGGGAGTCAGGGAGTTCCCCATCAGCCCTTATTTGAACCCTGCCTTCTGGAGCAGAACCCTGGGTTCCCCAGTTCTTCCCCTGCCCACCCTCCTTTGTGCCCACAGGCAGCTGGGCTCAAGCCATATCCCTTGTGAACCCCTCCTGAAGGGACAATGGGAGAAGGCAGCGAATGTGTCTGGGTGTCAGCTACAAGGATTTTGTGAGCCAAAGGCCAACACGGGGTGCGTGGGAAACAGATGCCGTAGGGACTGGGGGGGCTGTGACTCTGAGGAACGGCTGGTGTGTTTCAGTGAAAGCAACGAAGCAGAACCAAGCCTGCTGCCAGCCATCCACCAGGCGAGGACATCATGGCCCCTTTTACAGAGGAGGGACCACCCCCCCACGGTGGACAGGGAAGGGCACGGCAGGTGCTCCCATCTGGGTCCTCAGGCTCCACCGGCCTCAGCCCTGGTGCGTGGCCAGAATTTGTGTGGCTGTTCTCCGTGGGGCACAGATCACCCCTCACCGTGCCACTGTGCACCAGGCAGGGGAGCAGGTGCCGGTGAGGCCCAGAGCCCCCCTTGGCCTCCACGCAGGAGACTTGTGGCTCAGAGTCCCATCGGTGAGTAACTGTGGCTGGGGGCTCTGGAGGCTCCCCGAGGCCCCCCGGGACGGGACTGGGAGATGTTCAGTGAGAAAATTCGAGACTGGGTGAGCCAGGCAGGGCAGGATTAGAAGCGTCTCCGCGGCCTGACTCTGTGCTGAGCCGTGGACCGTGAAACCACAGCTTTCTTCTGCCCCGGGGCTGCTGGGAACCCGGGGCTCGTCTCTCTG